AAGACAGTGACGCCGCGGCTAAGGGAATTCTTTACAGTCAAAGACTTCTTTAATCCCGAGATTATCCACTAAACCACGTTTTGTAATTAAACCGGTTTAGTCTTGTTTCAAAAAGCAGTTGACAATCGGTTAGGCTCAAATTAAATGTTTCAATCATAGACTTAGAATATACTGGCGTAGTTTCAATAAAGGAATCCCATACACAATATGCAATATATATAATATAAAAATTCCGTAGTTTTATATATATATATATATATATATATATATATATATATATATATATATATATATATATATATATAAAACTACGGAATTTGACAGCAGTTGTCTGATTTCACGAAGACAGTTGCGTTGCGTCGCGGCTAAGGGATTTCTTCCATGAAAAAGACTCTTTTTAAACCATAGTTTGGAAAATAGTTTAAATCAATGGTTTAAACCAATTTGGGATTTGTGCTCCTCACATACTCCTCGAGGCCTCTACAGCATATGCCTCTAACAAATATTGCCACAAAGTACGCTCCTGAGCCAGCTGCATCCGTCGACTAGATGCCTGTTTCATCACATGGGCCGAGGTTTAGTAGTGGGCTTGTGATGGGATGTAGTAAACTGGTGTGTGTGAATGTAATTAGAAGGTTATTTAAACCGCATCTAGGAGAACATCGTGTCCTTCAACTCGCAAAAAGTCCATCTTCGGTAAAGAGGCTCCCCCATCAGGGATAATTTACTGTATTCGTCATTGCTTAGTAGGCGGATCAGCCATCACAGTATCATACGTCTTGTATCCTTGACGCTGCTTCATGTAGATGATATGGATGTTTCGCGTAAAAACTTAATTATCAGGGGTGTCATTGCATTTTTGTTGGTTCCTCACACAGATGGAAGGAAGCAGCAATAAGTTATAATGATTCTTCACCATTAGGCCCTGTGATCGTATTCGTCACGTACATCGTATGTTTGTAAGAACGGTGCTTCTTTACTATCCTCATATTTAATAAATCATTGTAACGCGTAGATTGACTAGATAAATAGCGTTTCGATGATATTACGTACCTATACATTTTTGTGGAACGTCGTAATAAAAATTGAAATGAGAAACAGCGGGGTGACGTCTGGAAGAAATTGTTTCCAGATCGATAAGACCGCCTATTGTACCTTCTTTACGATTTATTTCATTTTGTTTACGTTTTAATGTATAGATGTACTATAAAATATATTGATTGGTTATGCAAGTGAGAACGACGATAGTATTTTTACATGCAAGAAAGGTTGATAAACAAGCATAAACATACACCTGATGATTTGTGGATTCTGTGTTTCTATAAGCATCTATCTACATCATCTTATCTATCTAAATGCAGATACCATGTCATCCCTGCTGTACAACACGGAATGCCTCCATCACTAGTAAGAGGTGTCTCTGGTACTTAGGGTTGCCACCCTCAGTCAATTGTACTATATATTATAGAACAATAACATAGTATGTAAAATACTATATTTTTATCCTTAATTTAACTGCCGCGCTTCTTTATATTAACTGTGATTAGAAGTCTGGAACAAGTAAGTTTTGCGGAAAAAAAATTCCATCGTGAATGTAAAATTGAAAGAATAGAGAAAAAGAGAATGTATTAATTTAATTAAAAATTAATTGTTAATTTATATTAATATGAATCTAAATTGCTCAGACCTATAATTATTTTAAAGGTAAGGTGGTTACATCATTGATGATCAGATCAAAAAGCAATAACAAATATATATGGAAAAATACATAAAATTTAAAATAAATGCGTACTTTTTTCTCTTGAATTTCTCAAATTTTTTTTTTTTTTGGGAAAAATACTATATTTGTTCTAAAAAAGGTGGCAACCCTACTGGTACTTGTCATACACTTTACGAAACACAGTAGTATTGTACATTATTTTAGGTTTCTGTGACAGTATAGTCTTTCAGTAAGCGAGTCTTCTCATTTGTGCTGAGGTTATATTACCACATATAATAGGTAACTTATTATGGTTTATATAAGAAACAAAAATATTTCAACGGGCATTGTGCGCCATTTTAAATCTTATAGAATCTCTTTATCCCGTGAAGTGATTGTGTAAATCTGGTGGTAATCTGACTGGGTTCCTTTTGACGTTTGATTTTTTTCCGATCGTGTTGTGAGAAATGCATGAATACCGATTATGAGCCGATATTTTTATATAATTATCTAATATTGGTTTGTTTGCAAAATATTCGTTATTACAGCCTTTAGAAAATCAACTGCTAAACATATGGCTCCTCTGTATATTTGCCTTATATCTGTATATTTGCCAAATCTAGAATTTGCTGGCGAGTTGGCAACCGCAATTTTTTTTAATATTTTGAGATGATAGCAAAGAGATGCCGTTGCACATCTCCTATTTCAGTTTCCCTCTGTCGCCTCTTAGGCCACTACATACGGAATTCCGTTTCGGAATTCCGAACGGGTTGGTGACAAACTTACGGAATCCCGTTTTGCCCGCAAATTTTCGAACGGAAAACTAACGTAGGTGTGTGACGGGTCCTTGATTATATATTGACCTGCTGCGTTCGGAATCCCGAAACGGAATTCCATATATATGTGTATTAGTTTGAACTGCCAATACACAGTCATACAAAATATTATCATAATAAAAAGGCAATGCATTTGTAGAGGGATCCCTACCGGTAAACGATTCCAACCAGAGTTACAAAATATTCCACTATAGTCGGATTCAGAGTTCTGCTTTGGTTATCACACTATGGCGTGCCTCATATTATGTTCATGTTAAATATATTGTACGTACCATGCAAGATACAATAAACATAATAAGAACGAATATAATGCGATAAAATATTGTAGTGTACCGAATTGATTCAAATACTAAACTCTAGAACGAAAACTACTCGAGATAAACTTTGTGGTCTTAAGTTTTCATACAATGATATGACTATATGATTTTCCCGTAGGGCGTCCTCTGTATTTGGTTATATGAATTATCATAGCCATAATAGCTATCGCGCTCAGACCGCGCGAAGACCTATTAATCAATAATCTAAGATAGCTTTACACAACGTGACAGATTTACTTATTTATTTATTTTTTAAATATGTTCGTAATAAACAATCACCAAGAGTTTCATACATAGTATTGCTTATAAATCGATTAAATATCGATAAAATCTGATTAATATCTCATAACGTTATGGAAGTTACATAACAGGTAAAGCACGTCTGTATATGCAAGCGCTCGTAATTTGTATGTATGTAAACATGACTACATTACCTGATAAGGACAACGCTCCTTCAGTCCGCTCGACCTCATTCCACTTGTCACGCAGAAGGCGAGACTGCTTTTTGCGAATGAAACTCTCATTGAGAGCAAAGGTATTCGTTTACCTCATTCATGTAGAGGGACTATATGTCCCGTGTGCCTAGGATTTCATGGTGTCTTTTAGCAATTGGTTATCGATGCTCGTTTTACAACGTGGTAGAGCCACGCTGCAGCTATATTATGGTTGTAGCACGAATGAGTCGGCTCGACCGGGGAAGTACCACGCTCTCACAGAATACCAGCGTAAAATAGCAGCTTAATACTGCTGTGTTTCGTATGTTTAGTGTAGAGATCAGGAGACCTTTTTTACTCGAAACGAGGCATCCCATCTTAGTCCTCAGAGATGACAACGCATCTGCGTTTTGATTCTTAATCGAGGATAAATGTAGATGTCTATGAGCCACGGCATCCAATTACCATCAGGTGGACTGTGTGCGCGTTTGTCACCCTTATTCTATAAAAAATAAATCCGCTTAACGGTTTCTGATATAGCATATTAATCCTCCTCAAATACACTCCTGAACACAGGCCAACCTCAAGGAATACCACAAAGCACGGCCCTAAGCCACCTGTATCCATCGACTTCCTGCATATCTTACTAGGTCGTCACTCCCTCTGGTGCGGGGGAGCCGCCTTACACTTACGAGGTTGTCACTACAGAACCTCTTTTCACCATCGGTTGCCAGTTCTTTGAGCTATATGGCCGGCTCATAGCCAGCATTCAACTTACTGCTGCGGACATCCCCATTTCTAAGTCTATCAGACAAAGATAGAAATAGTCACTTGTTCGATTTTAATTTTGGAAAGCGTAAGTGAAATGTACAAATATTTCGTTTTTCACTAGACTCAACAAAGACCTATTAATTAAGGTTTGGTTCAAAGAGGAGATTAAGACTACCCTTTGTGATATCATTTGTAGTTAGTTGTTTAGCAATTTAGTAATAGTCCAGTCAAAATAGACAAAAATAAGTCATAACTTTCGCATAGAGTTGAAAATTGGCAGAGACGTTAAGTACATCATTATAAATAAATTGTCAAAAATCCCCATTTGATCCTACTTCTGCAATAAAAAAAATTATTAAAGGTCAAACGTACAAAATATATAAAATAGTGACGGGACCATTTTTGTAGAGAATTGTATGATCTACGACTTTTGTCTGACCTATTTTCACGATAAAAATTACCGTTTTCGAAAAAAACGAAAAAAAAACCGTAATTTTGTACGTATGACCTTGAAAAAATTTTTGACAGAAGTAGGATCGAAAGGGATTTTTGACATTTTATTTATAATGATGTGTTTAACGTCGTCAATTTTCAGCTTTATGCGAATTTTGGCTAAGTCAAATGTCTATTTTCACTGGGCTATAAAGTATTATAATAAGCCTGTACGTGCCTCACTGCTGAATGCATACCTTCCATTTCTGAGAAAGTTTTCGAGCATGGAAGAGTCCGCCGCGCTGAACCAATGCATGCTTATTGATTGATTTCGCATGTTATCAAAAGATTATTTTGAATTTCTTAGAAATGCCGATTACTACGATATGATGTTTTCCTTTAGCGCCAAACCAAAACTTAGCCAGGTTAAAAATATCATAGGTGCTGACGGGGATTCGTGTTGCTCGCTTATTATATGATTTTAAATCCATTTACGATTTTTCTTAATTTATTATTTCAAATGTGGTGAACCTACGTCAATACTACATGGGGCCATTGCGCAATACGAACGGTGGGCTGGCCGCAAGCCTGTGACCTCTTTAACATCTTTAGGCCTTGAGTCAAAATACTGACGGAGTTGGCAACGCGAGCTGAACCGCTCGACTGATTTATTCAGCTGCATTCAAACATTAACACACTTAAAGTAATGTGTCTCTTAGCACTTAATAGCATTAGTGGTGGTACAAATAATAAAATCGATTTCGCTCGGGGTGTTTATAATGGGAAATTTATGGCGTTAAGGTTAAGAAAAAAATTAAATAAAATGAAATATATTTGAGAAGATATTAAGTTTTGATGTATATGAAGTTACCTATTGAGTTAAAAGCTTCGTTTATAGATCATTAAACAACGTCTCTGGTTTTATCTTGATATAGTTATTCTCCTCGGGCTGTGAGTTGTGATACAATTGCCTTATTTCGGAAGGTTAACTTAATTTCCTCAGAAATCAGATTCCACATGTGTTCTCTGTAAAGGCTTTTAGGGAGTATAAAACAAGAAGTGCAAATAGCGGTTCATTTTTTGCTCGAATACGAATTTAATTTAAAGATATATTTTTTAATATATCGTCAACAGTGAGCACAGTGAACAGATTTATTATTTATATGCTTACTTACTTACTTACTTATCTTCACGCACAATCCCTAACGGGGTAGCCAGAGAGAACAGATCGCCAAGTGTCACGATCCTTACATACCTCTTTCGCTTCTTTCAGGTTCATTAACTTCTTCATACATGCACGTCTAGGTATCCGAGTACTCTTGACCCTCCCCTCTTCGAGCAATTTGCTCACATGGTCTTCGAAAGTTAGTCTCGGTCTACCTCGACACCTTTTAATATTTACTTTCGCTCTATATATTTTCTTCACCATTCGGTCTTCACTCATTCGTTCAACGTGCCCAAACCATTGGAGTACGCCCCTATCAATTTTTGTGATAAGGTCATCTTTCAATCCTGCCATATTGCGAATCTCTTCGTTTCGCTTTCGGTCGGCTAAGGTAACGCCACACATTTTACGAAGAGATCGCATCTCCACTGCATTCAACTTGCTTTTATGCTTCTTCTGGCATACCCAGGTTTCGCTGCCATATAACAAAGTCGGTACCAACACTGCATTATGTATTGCAAGGCGTGCACTCTTCACCACGCCTTGCCTTTTTACTAATGCATTCAGGGCACCATTGACTTTGTTTCCGGCAGCGACACGCCTATCCACATCTAAATCACATCTTCCATCCCGGCTGAAAGCACTCCCCAAGTATACAATTTCATTTACCTGTTCTAGACATTCCTGATTTACCCATATTTCACATTTCGTTCTCTCTTCGTCCTTTTCAAATACCAGAACCTTAGTTTTATTAGCATTCAAACGGAGACCTTTAATTTCACATTCCTCTTTCATACACGTGACTAATGCCTGCAGTTCTGCTTCTGATGGTGCAATAAGCACTGCATCATCAGCATACAGCAGACAATTAACTTTTATGTCACCCAATTTCACACCCAAACAGCTATTTTTCAGCTTCTGTAAACAGCTGTCGAGATACAGTATGAACAGCCAGGAAGACATGACACAACCCTGTTTTACGCCCGCTTGGACGCTAAACATGGGTGACAGGTCATGCCCTACCCGCACACAGGCTTTACAGTCATAGTAAAGTGACTGCACAGCCCTTAACAATCGACCATCCACACCATATCCCGGCAACAGTTCCCACATTTTCTTCCTTATAACCTTATCAAATGCTTTCTCCAGATCCACAAAAGCACAGAAAATCCTCTGGTTAACACTCAGAAGCTTCTCCGTGATCATGCGGAGAGAAAACATTTGATCCGTGCATCCTCTTCCAGGTCTAAATCCGCATTGTGCCTCCCATAAGAATCTTTCCGATTTCTCTTGCATCCTACGTGTCAAAACCTTCGAGTAAACTTTACTTGCTAAACTGGTCAAGCTGATCGCCCGATAGCACCCGCAGTCAAAATGTGAACCTTTACCTTTATATAAAGGCACAATGACCGCGGATCGCCAATCATCCGGGACATCTCCCGTCCGCCAGCACAAATTGCACAGCAGATGGAAGCTGTCCCAGACGCGAGGCCCACCGTACTTGACCATTTCAGCAGTAACTCTGTCTAGTCCCGCAGCCTTACCACATTTCAAACTTCGAATCGCACGTTCAATCTCTTTCATGCTGATGACCTCAGTGTCATCGAGGTCCGTGTCTGGCGTGCCAGTCACGGCGTCACCCCCGGATCCTTCACTAAGATCATGACACGCATACATTTCTCTATAAAATTCACTCCATCGCTGCATGACGTCCGATTTTTCTGAGAGGACGTCATTGGTTCTCGAAAGCACTTTGTTCATTCTTAAGGCTGTCGCACCACTCCGGGACCTTCCAACCTCTTTCCAGAAGAGTTTGGAGTTTTCCCTAAAGTTGTGCGACAACCTCTCGTCCGCTTCTATTCTACACCTTTCACGTACTTCCTCAATCAATGTTTTCGCATGAACTTTCTGCAGCTTATATCTTTCTTTCATCTTCTCTCTCATATGCTCATCGTTACTAGAGGCCAAGTAGTCTAACCATGCTTTTTTCTTCTTTTTTTACAGCTTCTCTCACTTCATCATTCCACCATGCATCTCTTCTTTTACTACTACCTCTTTTTGTCGTACCACATACTTCTTCCGCTGCACTTACCATTCCATCCCTAAGGTTCTGCCATGTTCTCTCCACACATTCTTTCCTGCCATCGATGGTGTCAAGCTTTTCGGCTACCCTCGTGTGATATTTGTCCCTAGTATCCGCTTCCTGAAGCTTCCAGCTTCGGATGCGACAGACCGACTGTGGTTCTGTTACTGCCGTCCGGTAGCGCCAACCCGCGAACAAACCCCTAAATCTAGTAATTACTAGATAATGATCCGTTCCCAGGTCAGCACCCCTGAACACTCGTGTATCCATCACCTGTTTTCGCAGTCGGTCATCCACCAGGAACAAATCAATCATACTTCTCTCATTCTTTCTTTCTCTAGTGTACATATGGATTTTCCTGTGATTAAACATAGTGTTTGTCACAAGAAGACCCTTTTCCTTGCATACAGCCAGTATAAGCTTGCCAGCATCATTAACCCTTTTATCGCCAAACTTTCCAAGCACCGACTCGTATCCTGGTCGAGCGATACCTACCCATCCATTCAAATCACCACATACAACAGTTCTTTCGTTTCCCTTAACCAAATCTAGAACTTCTCTTACATTCTCCCAAAACTCCTCCAGCTCAGCCCTGGACGACGAAGCTACCGGCGCATAAACAGCCAAAAGGAATAACTTCCTCAGTCCCATTTTGAAGCGAACCCAGAGAAGTCTTGAGTTCACAACCTTGTATTCAGTCATAAGATCGACCAACCGGGACGACAACAGCACTCCCACTCCCTGGCAGGCGTTCTCGCTTTCCGGGACTCCGGACCATATAGCTAACGTCCCGCCAGGGAGCTCTTCAGTACCACTGCCTTTCCGTTTGGTCTCCGACATACACACGACATCTAATTCTCTTTCTTTCATTATTTCGATCAAATCATTCGTCTTATCTCTCATGCCCCCTCTAACATTCCACGTGCCAACTCTGCACTCCGTCCTCCACCTTCCGCCGTGTCGGGCTGTGCGTGACGGGTGGCGGTCCCCATCGCCGCTCTGCGCGCTGCATTCCACACCAACGGGGACGAGCTGGTGTGCGTCGCCTTGGGGGGACGCCCTAACCCTCGTTTGCATGGGTGCGCAGCTGTGTAGAATTGCAGCCCTGAAAAGGGCTGGCAGGGGTCGCGACGAGCACGCTTCTACAATGACCCCCACTATTACCATTAACACCATTATTTATATGGGTTTGATTTTTGATAAAACCTCCTTTTCCTTCATCAATCACGCGATTGAGGCGATCGCTTAAAAGCTGTTTCTCAAATTATTTTTAGATTATTGTAAGTTTTTTTATTTAATTTAATTGAAGTAACATACTAACTTAGTCTACCTGATTGTTGAAGTGGCTACTTCTGTCCATGGACATCTTTTTTTTTATAGAACAGGGTACAAACGAGCATACGGTTCACCTGATGTTAAGTGACTTCCGCCGCCCATGAACATCAACAGGGAAATTGCAGGTGCGTTGCCAACCCTTTAGAAAGGAGTAAGCTCTTTTCTGGAAGGTCCCCAGGTCGTATCAGTCCGGAAAAATCGCCGGTGGTAAACTATTACACAGAGACGTCGTACGCGGATGAAAACTCCTAGTGAAACGTACAGTGGTGGACCGCCAAGCATCCAGATGGTGTGGATGGTATCGGGAGGTTTGCCGCGTAGTGCGTTCATGAAATTTGGTGGCTGGGATTAATCCGAACAATTCTCGCCTGGCCGAGGAAGAACAGAAAGATATGTAACTTCAATTGGAATTTTTAAAAACCCTCGAAACAAAACGAGCTGATGATCTTCAAATGGCTTAAAAAATCCTGAATCATAGCTAAAACACTCTTATTCAAATCACCTTTCAAACAAAAAAAAAACTAAATCTAAATGGGTTCATCCGCTTGGGAGCTAGGACCTACGATGCCACAGGCAAACCGATGCCACAAGTTAAACATGTAACACCTCTCTGTTCGCATCAGGGGTTAAAAACACGAAGCCATCGATCACTAATAAAGAAACGAGGCTTATGAAAAGAATTAAGAACTTTACCGTAACTTTAAGTTAAGGACCTCATTAATTACTCTGTGTCGTACACTTACATTATAATTAAAAGCCTTCTAGCTTCACGATGTGCTGCCAAGTTTCCAGTGCTTAATTCTCCTGTTAGTAATAAATAATCCAACGGTGGCCTTAATCCTAGACAGCGTCTTAAATTATCTGTAAGATAATCGGTAATCCTAACAAGTTAATGCATGTATTTAACACGTTGTGGCTTGGTCGCGTAATTTCTACAAAAATTAATTACATTTTCATCGTTAAAGCCCATCGCTAAACATCCATTGCTAAATTTGGGCCTCCCTTTAGGGTTGTCAAAATATAAAAATTTGATCTGGAGTCACAAAATATACCAGTTTCGCTGCCTGATGCAGGCATCGGTGTCAAGGCATGACCGTTGTAAGCGGAAAGATCCAAGTATAAACATATTTTTTGAGAAGTTATCCTTCGTCTTTCCCGTAAGTTGTACCTACTTAAAATAAAGGAACAGTTGTTTTCATTGTTATTTTAAAAAACAAAGTCCCATTAATTAAAACAACAATGTTTTGACAAAGGTAATTAGTTTACCTAGGTACTCTCAGAAATGAGAGATCTGTACCAAGCATAGGGACGTATACATATTGTAACTTAACCTTACAACTGTGTACTGTCAAAAGCCGCATTTGTCAGATGTGTGCAACCGGCTCCCGGTCGCAACACATTCAGGGCTTGTGGAGGGCAATTATTTCATACCAATTGGAATATCTCTAATTATAATTAGAATAATGGATATTTATTAATAAATTATGACTCCAAGACAACAATTCTACAAATTGTATTCAATTTTTTATCATTAGTATTAAATTGGACGGTTAAATATAGCCCATAATGTAGGTTCCTCCAAATTTGATGATTTTTATTATTTATTGTACAAATAAAACAATTAATAGCTTTTATATGTTATTTTATTAATAGGATAACATATTTGAAACAAAAAAATAATACAAACATCACACGTCATCATACATTTTTTTACACACCACTTGTTTTAATAAAAGCGACTAAAATCAACCACTCTGTTTGGTATTTTAATTGGCCGTCATGTTTCTCAATGGTTTGAAAAGACTCTTTGTTTAAGGGTCAAACATTTTATGTTTACAGTAAGTTGAGCATATCAGCTACAAGTTAAAATAGCAACATAGTTCTAAGATTAATATAACTTGAGTAAGAGCTGAACAAATATGGTACTTAAAATGGGCACAAAACACAGTGCTCATTTAAAACTCTTTTCTTTGGTTTTAGGTACATACTATCAAAAGAGTGTTATATTTACCAAGATTTACATAGATCAAGGTATCAAATTCAAACAGAAAATAAGTTTGCTTCCTAGAAATATTTTAAGAACAATGTTGATAAAAATTGTAAAAAAACAACTACTTTAGTCACAATGAGGTTAGAAAAATATGGATACGACTCTTTATTTTTTGTTGTATGTAATAATATAAAATAACTTTTCTGCGTTTTAGGATAGTGTTTCTGTATAGTTTTACTGTGGTGAGTGGTGTGGCTCAAAGCAGGTAAATACACATAGGGGGACATTGCACGCTTTGCAATAAGCGGTTGTTCGTTTTTTACACACGGCGCACAAACGTCGCAACCGCTCATGTTGTTTGCCGGCAACAAACTCATATTGTGCTGGAAAATGCCCCCCTAATACCGAAGGAGCCACAACTATTTGTGCAGTCGTGTGATGTGCTATCAATTGACCCACCAAAGTTTTACGAAAATTTCGATGGGTAATTTGGTGTTGTGATTTTAGTAATGTGTAAGCGTTTAGAACACTCACATTCAATAGGCGTCTGAAAAATTTTTTGTACCACACTCGAGTACGCTTTCGTTCAATCGGGAACATGGCGATCATTTGATCCTTTCGGTCAACCCCTCCCATACAGATATTATAATCCGATATGATCGAGGGCTTTAGAGTGTCACCGCACCTAACAGATGCTAAACCATGGTATGTTGAAATAAGAGCTACACGGTTCTTATCTCTCCATACCACGATATCCACATCCTGCGAGGTGCAGCCACACAATTGACCAATCGACATGTCACTTTTTTTTAAGTTTGTGATTTCTGAGGGAACAAACTGGCGATTTGTTCGAAGCGTTCCCACGCAGTCAAAGCCCCGAACTTTCAACTCTCGCGCAAGGGCTGGGGAATTGTAAAAATTATCCATCCAGATAGTATGGCCTTTGTGCTCAAGACCATTTAAAAGCCTGATCACTAAGGAGGAGATAATTCCAGAAATTGGACCTTCTTGTGGAGTCGAGGAATCATCTTGCCCTGCGTGGACTTCGAAACGCCACAAGTAACCAGTCTGGGATTCACATACTTCGTAGGTTTTTATTCCTACTGAAGCAGCCTTATTTTTTTATAAACTGGTTTATGTCTAACCAGCCCTTCCACATAGTTAGACTCTCGTCCAAAGCTACATTTTGTGACATGTTATATAGTTGTGGGAATCTGGAATTAAGATGGTCTAGTATAGGTTTAATTTTAAACAATTTAGCCTCAGAACGCGTCATCAATTCCGGGTTACAACTATCATTGTCTTGAAAATGGAGACATTTGCTCAACAGCACAAAACGATCATACTTCATCGACGCCGAGAACCCGGGTGTACTGAAAATTTCCTCAGTCTTATTCCAGTACTCCTCGAGACGTGATTTGACTACAATTCCAGTGGCCAGAATTATAGCCAAATACACGTATAGTTCATCGACGTCGGTGGGCTGCCACTTGGTAATACGGCTGTTAGGGCGTATGGAGCCTTCCTCCAGCATGTACGTTGCCAGCTGTTGTGCGTATTTATTTGTTTCACTAGCTATGTATTCCATTATTTGCCGATCCCAAATGGCAGTAAATGCTTCATATGGGGTCGCTAATGAAACAGTGGGACCACAATTACTGTCGGAGAAAGGTTCTCTTCTCAACTCAGGTGGAATTTGAGGTTGCGAGAACGCTCTCCAATTGAACACAAATTTTGATGACGGTTGTAACTCAGTTGTGAGTTCCGGCTCGGTTATGGGTTCGGAATCGGTTGTGGGCTCAGGATTGGTTGTGGGTTTGGGATCGGGGATATTAAAAATTGGTAGTACGGCCTCGAACTGCTGCGGCTGCTGCGACTGAGGTGGCCATTGAAACGATGGTATCGCATCAGTTTTAACCACATCGTCGTCTTCCTCTTGAAAATAAAATCGTGCAGCTCTCGGCACCATTGGTGATGTGGTAAAATCATCGTTCTCCCCATCGTCCTCGGAGTCCTCTTCACTGCCTGAACAAAAACATCTTAATTACTACATCATTAAAATTATTGATAGAATTCCGTCAGAAGATGTAATAATAAAAATTTCAGGTACCATAGTTTAGTATTGTGCTTATATCATTATCCCTAAGAGGCTGTCTTGGGCGATGGGGTGACGAAGATGAAATTCTGTAAAAATATATAGATCAAATCTTAAAATTGAGATCAATTTTATCTTAATACGTATTTATTTTTGCATGTCATGAGCACCGCCGCTTTTGTGATCCAGCAGGAGGGGGTCCTTAGTATTTCTGAATATATAAATAGTAAAGTCAATAAAAATATATAATAATAATAAGTTCTTTTTTACTAATACTACTGCTAAAATTACAATACTAAAACTAACCTGGGTCGTTTTGCTGCACCGATTACGATTGAATGTGGCGTAGAGGCCCCGCTACTGCCACATTCAATGTGCCTGCAAATGTTTTTATGTTTAATTTAATTTAACAGAAAATTGTTATGTAAAATAAATACATAAAATTGTCAATAATTACAGAGCGGGTGAAGGGGGGCCAGAGCGTGCACACAGTGTGGCAGGCGTAGGAGGGCTCTCAGGCAGTGTGATTGGTTCTGAAGCTGGGTCGCATGTCATTACCTTCAGAGACGACCACAAACGTTGTGTTCTAAAAACCAAATTATTATCACATGTCAACGCATTATTTTCTACATACATTAATAAAAGGACGTAATAAGTAAATATTTACGTAGTCGATGTCGATGGTCTTGGTTCAGGAAGAATTCGTGGTCGTTTAGAAGTTATGGCTCTCTCCAGAGCCAGAGTCTCCGAGAACGAACGTTTTAACGTGGTAGAGCCATGCTGCAATTATATTAGTAGTATAGTTGTAGCACGAATGGGTCGGCTCGACCGGGGAAGGACCACGCTCTCACAGAATACCAGCGTGAAATAGTAGCTTAATGCTGCTGTATTTCGTATGGTGAGTGTAGAGAACCGGATACCCTTTTTACTGGAAATGAGGCATTCCATCTCAGTCCTCACGGGTGACAACGCATCTGCATTTTGATTTGTAATGGAAGATAGATGTAGATGTCTATGGGCCGCAGCAACCACTTACCATCAGGTAGACTGTGTGCTCGTTTGTCACCCTATCCTATAAAAAAAAAAAAAAAAAAAAAAAAGATATCATCGAGGTTGCCACTGAATATCCTAAAATACAATTTCGAGTATTATATATATATACTGTATATATATATTATTTATGTGTTAATAAAAAGCCGCTATTACGAGTCAGAAGAAGGCCTTTGTAAGCCGCCACCACCTCCACCAGGCCGCCCACCACGCGTACGTGGACCAGAGGCTCTGCGTGCCCCGCGTCCACCGGCGCCTCTTCTCTGTCCGCCTCTTGTTGTTGATCTTATGCATCGAAAAAACAAAAGAGAGCACTCAAAACAGAACAAAGCAAATAAAAACACTTAACGGAAATAGTATTAAAAATTCTAAACAGAAAAAAAAAATTCATGAAAATAAAAAATGAGCGTACATAACTTTTCAAAAATATTATGAAACATTAAAAACTTGTAGTGCTTCAACAGAAAAAACAACACCGACTTTAATTTCATCCTATTGGGCGAAGAATATTTTTTCAATAATAATAACAAATATTAAAATGTGTGTAAATGTAAATGAAGTAAAATTGGATAACAAACACGTGAAAAATCAGTCGTATTGCGACCCTCCTTCTTTGTGAAGTCGATTCAAAAATTCTAACACGCAGGGAATATCCATACTATACTTAGTCTTAAATAGGATCTGTGAAACAATGTCTGTGGTGAGACCGATTCCCGGTTTGAAAGTAAAGTACATCTATTTATTACTTTTTAAGTATTAATACATGTTTCACACTAAATCCAAGCTAAATTCATTAAGTGGGCGACTAGTTCATGATATTAAATTAATAAGTTAGACGTGTTTTAATAAAAATTAAACCAAATCAAAATCATACTCGTAGTTCGACACAGAGTAGGTTTGAAAAAAAGGCCGAAAATTACAAAAAAATAAGTTACACCTTTAATATTATTCATAGAAATTAAATATAACTTACCTTTCCATCGTATTTTCTTCTTTATCAACCTATTTAACAGCTGTTTACCTTTTATAACACACTTAAACAAGGTGGTCAGACGTATGTGACCGGCGAACTTCTCTTCAGGGTGGCCGTTCTACAAATTTTAAAGTCTCTAAACTAACAGAAAAAATCCGCCAGAAATATGATTTTTCTTTTTCTTAAAATCCGCTAGATGTCCCTAGGTATATTTTCGTGGTACCATTGGGCTAACTGAAAAATCTTGCCAAATGGTCAATGAATACCGAAAATCTAAAACTATAAATTCAGTAAAACCTTAAAAGGAGCGGACTCTATTTCATATAAATCAGTTATTTGTTTAGGTTAAAGATATGACAACCAAAACAAAAATTATTCATGTACAAAATAAAAAATATTGTAAAAAATTGAATCTTAAATCTTTAAACCACATTTAAACATTAGTTATCTTATTAAAAATAAAACAATTAGCTCAATACGTTCTTGTACCTAAAATTCAAAATTAATAGCGAAGTATGGATCCAAATCTTCAAAACGAACTTCAGCGGAAGTTGAAGCTTCGCCAACGTCTCCAGTTCCCATCTTTCGTTTGCCTTTATCGACTTGGTTGACATCTTCGGGAAAATCATTTCGCAATATTAATCTCGCATATCAATCATTCGTTGCTTAACTGATTTCTAATTAGAAGAATGGAATTTAAAAGTTTTTCTGATAGCTTGTTTCGCAGTTTGCTTTTAACTACATTCATAGCACCAAATACGTGATAAATTCAAATTCTGCATTTGAGTGCGGTAGTGATAATATTGCAAAATTACATAAATCTTCTAATATTTTTACTCCTGCTACATTTTTGTATGTCGAAACCTTAGACCATGGTATAAGGTCAAAGCAGATGAAAGTGAATGAACGACATTGAATTGTTAGTTTATATTCGGGAATTCTCGTGAAATTATATTATATATACAGTGTTACCAACGGTAGATTACAAAATTGGACATATGATAAATGACTTATTTGAAATGAATTACTTTATAAAAAAAAGTCGCCATCTCAAAAGTCCAAATGTCGCTAGAAGTCGCTAAATAATTATTTCTCGCTAAAGCGATTTTTTTATTCGCTAAACATTGTTAAAATCCGCTAAATCTAGCGAGAAAGTCGCTAAAACGGCAACACTGCTTCTCTTCATAATATTTGACTCTTACATGACGTAATCCGGCAAAGACGCGGTCCAATAGCTAACATGTTTAAGCATTATGCTTTCGTAATGAGTTAAAAAGAGAAAGATATATGCGAAAACCCTTAATATAAGCAAGACGAAGGACTACTTATTGGATCCGGCTCCCGGTCGCTTCACAAACGCGCATATTCTGTCACTAACCGGGACCCGGTCGCCTCACAGACGAGAGGATAAGCTTTTATTTTTTCAACCTACGAGTTTTTAATGAACATCATCGAAACATTAAATTCGTCATTTATTTGCAAAAACATAACGTAAGTAGAATTTTAATTAAATAGCCCTAACATTTTTGCCCTTTTCGGCATGTAGACTGCATAATATACGTCCGTACCGTTGCTGTCCACAAGGCACCTCTCGTTACAGAGTAACGTTACAGAGTAACAAAAAACGAGAGGTCTTCCACATAGATTGTCTCGTAGAGGGATATTTGCCATAGTTGCCAGGTTTGGCTGGCGAGAAAGACTGAAGCTGCTGCCTATCTGCTGGTTTATTTTCCTCTGTCGCCTTGTAAGGTTATAAGACACCCACGGGACGATGTGAGGTAATAGATATTCTTATGCGCCGCCACTACATGAAAAGATTAAGGAATAAAAGTTAAATTTTTTAACCTTTTTGAGTGGACAAAAGACACCCTAGAGGGCCTCGTTTCCAGTAATAAGAGTCCGTTTCTCTGCACTTATCATCAGGGATAGACCGTAAATTTGTGGGACCCTGGGCTAACACTACTTGGGCCCCTACCAAATTAATCAAACTAAACATAAACATAAACACTCACGCCTGTCACCCAGAGGGGTAGGCAGAGACTACGGACTTCCATTTGGCACGATCCTGACATACCTCTTTCGCCTCCTTTACATCCATATATCTACGCATACATGCTCGTCGGTTAAGGGTACTTCTAACGTGGCCCATTTTCAAAATATCGCCAATTTGGTCGATAAACTTTTTCCTAGGGCGTCCCTTCCCGACTCGGCCATTCACATCTGCCATATAAATTTGCTTTGTCACTCTTTCCTCATTCATTCTTTCTACGTGACCAAACCACCGAAGCATTCCTTTCTTAATCCTGGTCACAACATCATCTTGCATACCACATTTATCTCTTATCACGCAATTTCTCACCCTGTCATTCAGATTACACCCTAGCATATTCCTTAAAGACCGCATTTCTACAGCATTTATTCTACTTTCGTGCTTCTTCTGCCACACCCAGCTTTCACTACCATACATTAAAGTAAGGACTAACACAGCATTATGAATTACCATACGTGCCTGTTTTGACAAATTCTGGTTCTTCATAATAGAGTGTAGTGCCCCATTCACTCTATTCCCTGCATTTACTCGTCGTTCTATATCCCTATCATATCTACCATCCCTGCTAAATACACATCCCAAATACACAAACTCATCCACTTGCTCAATCAACTCTCCTTCTATTCTTATTTCACATACCGTTTTGCTTTCTTCTCTTTCAAAAACCATCACTTTCGTCTTACTTGCGTTCACTTTCATTCCCCTTTCTTTTAATTCCCAGATCATTAATGTAACCATCATTTGCAACTCTGCCGCCGATGACGCAAGTATGACTTGATCATCGGCATACAAAAGGCATTTGACGGTTAACTCGCCCATTCTTAACCCACATTCTTCATCTTTCAAAGTTTGCAAACACCGGTCCATAAATAGGTTGAACAGCCAAGGGGAAGCCACACAGCCCTGTCTGACACCTTTTTGGATGCCAAACCAGTCCGAGTAGACCCCATTGATCCTGACACAAGCACTAGAGTCCCTATAAAGAGACCTTAATGCCTGTATCAAACCAGCGCTCAACCCATATGAGTTCAGTGTTTGCCATAACACATTCCTGTCCACTCTGTCATAAGCCTTTTCCAAGTCCATGAACGCACAAAAAACTTTCTGGTTTTTGGCCAAAAACTTCTCCGCAATCATGCGCATGGAAAAGACTTGATCTGTACACCCCATTCCCTTTCTAAAACCCGCTTGCACATCCCAAATTTTTCCATCAGTTTCTTTCATAACTCTTTCAATTAACACCTTAGCATACAGTTTACCCACAATACTAAGCAAGCTGATACCGCGGTAGTTTTTGCAGTCCTGCTGTGACCCTTTTCCTTTATATATTGGTACTATAACTGCTTTACACCATTCATCCGGTACCCGTTTTAATTCCCAACATAAATTAAACAAGGTGTACAGCAGGCCTGCCACCACTCCCTCTCCAGCCCTTAGCATCTCGGGTGATACTCTATCATATCCAGCTGCCTTACCTGCTTTCATGCTTTTTATTGCTTTCATTAATTCATCTACACTTATCTCCATACCCCTTTCCACTTATTTCGGAATTTCTAGTTCATTTAATTCATACGACTCTTCACTCATAAACACGCTTTCAAAGTATTCCTTCCATCTGTTTAAATTCGAAACTTCATCATTCAGAATACATCCATTCTCGTCTCTTATAGCATTTATTATAGGCTGTTTTGTATTTCCCCTGGCAGTTCTTACGAGTTTCCAGAACATTTTTATGTTAGCCTGGAAATTATCAGATATCCTTCTATCATTCTTATCCGTTCTTTCTTTCTTTTTCCTTTCAACAACTTCTTTTACTCTCTTATTTAGACGTCTAAATTCTGCCTTTTTTCTTTCAATCTCATCATTCATACCAGAAGAATTATCAGCTTTGGTTGCTAGTAAATCTAACCATGCTTTCTTCTTTGATTCAACTTCCACCCGTACGTCATCATCCCACCATAACGTATTACTTTTCCTTTCATCTGTTCTCTTACTTACACCGCATACTTCGGTGGCGGTATCCACCAAACCTTTCTTAATATTATCCCACACAGTATTCAAGTCTAAATCATTCATACACAACTCATTCAAACATCTAATATTTTCTCTCAGTCTACATTTATACTTCTCTATCACATCTTCATCTTGTAACTTCTCTATTCTTATACGCTGTAACGCAGTGGTAGATACAGATGTCCGATGCCGCCAACGCTTGAAAAGACCATTAATTCGACATAAGACCAAGTAATGATCCGTCCCTACGTTGGACCCAATAATCAAACTAATCAAGTCAAAAAGCTTTTCTCTATAATGATGTACACGGCCTGGAAAAAATGATGACTTAGATACACAAACAGCAACTGTAAGACATTATTTAATATATCCTGGAGAAACCGCTAACTGCTAAGTGTCAGCGCACACCAAGAGCAGAGCAGAGTAGAGCATTTTCTGAGAACACTACAATATTAATTTTATTACTATTGACAGACAGTGCAAAATTATATTCACTTCCAAACCATAGAATAATAACACCTAGAAGCCGAGTCCGCGTCCGTAATGTGAGGCAACTTAAACTAAGCCAGTATGGCTCAGTTCAATACTCGGCCCGTTAGTGCTCAGTGTCGTATGGTGTTGACAACAGCTCTCATAATTTTAATTAAAATGACGGTTTGTGCAGTGAACGGATGTCACAATACATCAGAGAAACACAAGAAACATAGTGACATTACATTTCACGTGTAAGTAGTGCTTTTGAACTTATATTTTTACGTAAAATATTCATCAAAAATAAATATGAATTTTTAAAAATTCACACATGATATTATATGGAAATTTTGCCAAAGTGTGAAAAAAATTCTCCCACATTTTGTCGTTTAATTAAAAGTAAAATACGTCAATAAATTTGAATAAAATACAACGCATTGTTTTTATTTAAAAAGTATCGATGATAAATTTTAA